TTAAAACCAATTTAAAATAGTACTGGCTGGGGGCACCTGAGTGACTCAGTCAGCTGAGTGTCTGACTCTTGGTTTCGGCTCAGGTCATGATCTCGGGGTCATGGGATTGAGCCCCGCATGGGGCTCAATGCTCGGTGCAGAGTCTGCTTGGGATCTCTATCTCCTCTCCCTCGTACCCTCCCCTGGCTCGTGCTCTTGCAATCAATCAATAAATAAAATCTTTAAACAAATAAAATAGTACTGGCTGAATCATTGTTCTCTAGGATGCTTCAGACGTCTCAGGAATCAATGACTATTGCTGCTAGTTCTAAGGGGTTTTGTTTGGTTGGTTTTTGGTTTTCTAGAGTTGCTATGTCATCCACAGTGGCTCTGGGAAAATGTAGGTATGTACATGTAGTTGTATTTTTTAATAAATGTTTTTATAATAGTTTTATATTTGTAAAAGAGTTACAAAGATAGTACAGAGTAGCTACATACTCTCCACCCAGTATCTCTTGTTAACATTTTATTGTGCTGAATTGCCACAACTAAGAAACAAATTAGTACATTACTATTAACTAAACTCCACACCTCATTTAGATTTCACTAGTTTTTTCCCCCTAATGTTCTTTTTCTGTTTTAGGATCCCACCCAGGATGCGTTATTACATAGTCTTTACATCTTATAGCCTCTTCTCATCTGTGACAGTTTCTCAGATGTCACTTGTATTTCATTTCATACTTTTGAGGAGTACTAGGTTAGGTATTTTGTAGAACGCCCCTCAGTTTGGGTTTGACAATTGTCTTTTCTGATGGTTAAAGCCTGGGGCTATGGGTTTTGGTGATAAATACCACTGGGGTGAAGGGTCATTTAATAGGACATTATGATCACATCTTATCAAAGGGTATATGCTATCAACAAGATACCACTGTTAATGTTAACTTTATCTGAGATTGTCTTTGCCAAGTTTCTCCACTCTAAAGTTACCTCCCACCCTCACCTCACCCTTTGTCTTTTTTTCCTTTTGTTTTTGTTTTGTTTGTTTTTATCTGAATATAGTTGACACACAATGTTACATTAGTTTAAAGTATACAACTTACTAATTTGACAAGTTTATACATTATGTTATGCTCGCCACAAGTGTAGTTACCATTTGTCCCATTACATGCTATTATCCTTTATACATTCTCTATTCTTTGCACAGGAGTTACTCAGTACAGTCTACAATCAAAGGGCTAGGTAAGGGGTGCATTAAGCACCATTTTCCAGGGGTGGGGAAGTATCTACATATGTTATCTATAATTCTTTTGGAATTCTTTAAAGGAACTTGTCTCCCATATATTTGTCTCCATTTGTTTAGTTATTCAATCATTTATATTGGTATGGACTGATTTCAAAGATATTTATTTTATGTTTTGGATTATAACTCCACACTGTGTTATATATTTTGTTGTTCATATTGTTCCGGATTTTGGACATTGGGAGTTCCTTCAAGTTGGATCCTGTAACCTTTTGACATATCCCATTTTATTATTTTCTACCACTTCTCTAGCTATGCTTTGAATATAAACTGTAGCATTCAGGTATTTTATCTGAATAAAGCTGGAAGAAAATGAAATGTTAATCTTGACACTGTTATATATAACATAATATTCACAGATCTAGACACATTTTATTATTTGGAGAGACTATCATGTTTAAGTCATTATATCAATTAAGATATTTAGTAAAAGATGGAAGTAACACACAAAACCACCTAATTCAATGTATAGTAAATAAAGCTCACTTAAAATGGTACTCCATCCACTGTAGTTCTTTTTGGACAAGTAATGTTAAAACTAAGGTTAAAACCGGCTTTAAAAAACAGTGCAAAACATTTGGTTAGAGATTCTCGAAAGCTGAATTCTTATGTTTAACTACTTAAAATGACAGGTCTGCCACCCTAATTTTCATAGTAACAGCAAAGAAAAACACTCTGAGATTAATTTTGCTTTTCATTATACAAGTTAATTTTCTTTTCAAAGACATGTATTATTTGTTCTAAGATATAGTTAGCTAACTACCAAGTTATACACCTTACCTATCAGCACTAACGAAAAGAATCTTTAAAAAGACTCAAAGAAAAACCTTATGATGGTCTTTGATTTTAATGTCTAGAAAGACCAATGATCACAGACACTTAAACCATCTATGCCATCTTCTAACAAACCTACAAATGCTAGACAAAAATCCAGGCGGATTCACAATCTCTACCTTTCATTCCCCACACTGCAAATCCTCCCCGCCCCCGCTCATTCTACTACCCCAAATTAACAGCTTCTGATGCATTCCAATGCTCATTTCTTTACTCAGCATATTTTGTGTCATTGGCAAGATGATATGAGGTTGTAAAAGGGATTTATACTGGCAATAAATAGGTGTGAACCTGCATTTTACTTAGGTTTTCACTAATCTGTAACTGTGAGTGTATTGACTTAATAGGGGGAATGGCAAAAATGAAACCAGGATAAAGATCACCATAAACTTGAAGTCAGATGTCTGGACTCAAATTCCAACCAGCAATGTTCAATACTGTATGATGTAGCAGGCTCCTCTGCTTTAAAGGCATCCTTTAAAATGGATGATTTAAATATATTGTCTCCCAGATTCCTTCTAGTTCTGAAGTCTATGATGCTCTGACAAAAATTTTTGTTTGATAATTCCTCAGACAACCAATTCACTCACTGCATTTGATTTTCCTGGAGCAACTTCAGATACAGCTCCATCTTTTCTTGGAGGCTTTCTCCCCCAAAATGTAAGCCCTGGAGGCTTGAGTTATCTTTATGCAAAGTTATCTTTGTAACTCAGGAGAGAATAAAGATTTTTGAGATTATTATTTTAATCAGTCACATATTCAAGCCCGTTTTGTACAGGATAATAAAAGTTTGTATTAATGAAGCTATTTCTTAAGAAGGAAGGATAGTCAGTATACCTCCCCTCCATCAGGGGCCTGTTCCCAGTCTTGAGCTAGGCAACTGTGAGAGAGGTAGTATTTTCTTCACATCGAATCATCCAGAGTTCCAGGACAAGCTATAAGAAGATGGAATATATATAATATAATAGAAACTCTTTTGTTTCCACCTATGTTTCTTAGAGCATGTTATGGATTGAATTGTGTCCCCCCAAAATTCATGTGTTGACATCCTGTCCCCTAATACCACAGAATGTGACCTTATTTGGAAATAGAGTCCTTATAGATGTAATTAGTTAAGATGTGCTCATAATGGAGTAAGGTGGGCTTAATCCAAAATGACTTATATATAAAAAAAAGAAATTTGGACATAGACACGGGGAGATCACCATGTGAAGACCAGCATTATGCTCCTAAAAGCCAAGGAACTATCAGAAACTAAAAATTTTAGAGACAGGACTAGAACAGTTCCTTCCCTAGAGACTTCAGGGGGGACCATGGCCCTGATGACACCTTGATTTTAGACTTCTGGCCTCCAGAACTGTAAGACAACACAATTCTGTTGTTCTAAGCTACCCAGTTTGTGATACTTTGTCATGGCAGCCCTAGGAAATTAACACAAGCTGTAACACGGGGGTGTAGTATGGGGGGTGGTGGGGTGGATTTCTTTTTATATCTCTTTCAGCAAATGTATTTGTACCATCACTGGCTTATAGATTTGTTTTGCCTGTGCTGCTGTTTTGGGTTACAACACCTGCCAGTATATGCATTTTTATAGGTTATGAGGCACCTGGTTTCAAATATGGGGTTTTGTCACTTTCTAGCTGTGTAATTAACCTCACTGATTTTCAGTCCCCTGAAAATAGTAACACTTGATCTAACAGAGTAATGTAAGTGAATAACAATGTAGAGACAAATACAAGAGTATATAGTGTGAAGGATAAGATCCAGGACCTTGCAGCCAGGTTGAATGATTTCAAATTCAACTCCTCCCTTTACTAGTTCTGTGACTGAACTATAAACTCAGTTCCATCATTTTAAAATAAGAATGATAATAGTACCTGTGTCTTAAAGTTGCCCTGAAGATCAAATAAGTTAATGCATAAATAGATCTTAGAAAATTGTCTGGCACACAGAAAGTATTCAATAAATGATATCTGAAAGTCCCTTGTAAACTATAAAGGACCATACAAAAGTTAGATCATTGTAATTTATAGTTAATAGCACTTACACATCGATAACTCTTTCTTTTTCTTTTAAAGTAATCTCTACACCCAATGAGTGCTCAAACCCATGATCCCAAAATCAAGAGTCAGATGCTCTATGGACTGAGCCAGCCAGATGCCCCGATAATGCTGACCTTCTAGCTCAATATGCTTCTTTGCAGCAGTAGTTTGGATAGCTATGGAGATCTAAAGAGTGACAATCACAAATGAGGGCTATTACCAAGTGGGTCAGGTTTGCCCAGTGAATCAGAAGAAACTTCAAACTACAGACTATTTCTGGTTTTCATTAGTCTGCTCATATCCTAGGGTAAAAATATTTTAGAGCCAAAATTTTTATTGAGCATCATATTAACTGTTCTAATATGTAAATGAAAAGCAAAGAATTTAAGTAGATTTCACTTGGGCATGCAGAAATGGGAATCGAATTTTTAAAAACTGCTTTTAAAAGTTTCAAATGAAATCTTTGTTTGCATATATTTGAACTGAGATACATTGTCTATATATCACTTTCATTAGTTACAGTAAATAAAAAAAATAGACACCCAATCATCTCTCACCTTGCTTTATACCTCAAGGTGAAGTTGTTTTTTAACCATATGAGCCACCCAGGTGCCCAAGGTGAAGTTGTTTTTTGTTGTTTTGCTTTGCTTTGTTTTATCAAATAAAAGTCTACCATTACAAAACATCACTTGCTTCTTATGTGTCTTGCCTTATAGAAGGAGAAAACTAAAAACTAAAGTGTTTTACTAAAACACTTTCTTTAGTTTACTTAGAGGAAATAGAAACAATTGAGACTTTAAAAAATGTATTATATTATCACATTTATCCAATTTTATACAACTTACCCAGGAAGTATATATTTGGAAAACAGATTGTCTCAGTGCTGTGGATAAGTTATAGTCTTCAGAACTGTGGTGGGTTTGGTGTCCAGCCCACATGATATTAACCTCTGCAAAACACATAATTTGAAATGAGCCATGAGAATAAGAACAAAGCAACTTCCATTTTCACTTATGTATGCTGCTCTTGTTAAGTGAGGAAAAAAATCTGGAACATCTCTGAAAAACCTAGCCAATATAATTATAATTAAAATAAGCTGCTTCAAATGACTTTTGGAAACAGCGAGAGTATAAATTACAAACAAATAAGAAAACTGAAACATAGCAAATAAGTATGTATAGTGTATATGATATAATTAAATGCCTCCAGCAAGCTAAAATGACTTCCAAAATTTATACTTGCTAATGTATTATTATAATATGACAAATCATAAAAGCTTACTGTCAATGTTGTAACAATACAGTCAATGGATAGTGATGATTTTTCAGTATGTGATAATATATTTATAATTAAAGAAGAATAATGTGATGGGAGAAATTGGTACATAAATTCTGGAATGAAATATTACATAAAATTCCTTCCTGATGGCTTTTTAAGAAGTCTCAAAATCTGTCTATTGGAATAAAAGGCAAAGCAGAATAATATTTGGTTCTAAGACTTAACATTTCACTTTTTAGATTTTATTTATTTATTTGACAGAGAGAGACAGCAAGAGCAGGAACACAAGCAGGGGGAGTGGGAGAGGGAGAAGCAGGCTTCCTGCCACGCAGGGAGCCCGATGCAGGGCTCTATCCCAGGACCCCAGGATCATTACCTGAGTCAAAGGCAAATACTTAATGGCTGAGCCACCCAGGTGCCCCAACATTTCATTTTTATTTACAGAAATATATTAGCTAATACATACAGCTCTTCCTGTACCTTACGCAAACACTACCATTTCTAAAATTCTCCCACATAATTGTTGTTCATCCTTACAATAAAAAAAGGAAATGTAAGTTGTTTATTTTCATCAAGTATTATGCAGATTGCCCACATATTGCCTTGCAATTCATTTACATCCTAAAGGGATAGTTGTTTGTTTTTTCTACAATATGCCACTATAATGACCTCCTAAGTAGATAGAACAAACCCACATTTTTCATTCTGTGAATATTTTTTTCTTATCAGAATTACAGAAACCACACTGTAGTCTATTCAGTTAAAAGAAAGTACGTTCTTAGCTACACTAACTATAATTACGTTCTTTGCTACAGATATAGGAGACAGAATTAACTGTGTGGTATGATCTCTGTATCCCTGGCAGTACAGATTAGAAATCAAATCTTTTAGTCTTGCATGCATGTGGACTGAACAGTGACCCTAAGAGTGGAAATACTGGATGGGTTATTGGTCTTTTTTTTTTTAAGAGAGAGTGTGGATACAGGTGCACATGAGTTGGGGGAGGGGGAAGGGGGAAGAACAGAGGGAAAGGGAGAGAAAGACTCTTAAGTATGCTCCACATCCAGCATGGAGCCTAACTCGGGGCTTGATCTAATGACCCTGAGATCATGACCTGAACTGAAATCAGTAGTCAGGCACTTAACAAACTGAGCTACACAGGTGCCTGGTTACTGGTCTTCACAGTTGCCATATACTAGTAGTTAAAATACCTAGCACTTGGCAGAATAAAATTTGTTAGAGGATTTTATGAAAATTATGGAGATATAAATATACAAATGTATATAGATATAAAAATAAATAAATAAATAAACTCCTTCCCCCACCAATCTGGGTGCCTTCTCTGCCATTCATTTAGGAAATGAAAAACTCTCTGGACAATCTATATAGGGAGTTACCAAACAAAATATGCAAAAGAATTTTGGTAAATAAATGATAGCTCAGGGCGCCTGGGTGACTCAGTTGGTTGAGCAACTGCCTTCGGCTCGGGTCATGATCCTGGAGTCCCTGGATTGAGTCCCGCATCGGGCTCCCTCTGACCCTCCCCCCTCTCATGTACTCTCTCTCATTCTCGCTCTCTCAAATGAATAAATAAATCTTTAAAAAATAAATAAATAAATGATAGCTCAGATGTAAGAAGGACTTATGTGAAAATGGAAAGATTATGAACAGAATTATGAATAGAGGGCCCCATCAGAAGTCATTATTATTAAAGTTATATATTTTCAAGGGGTGGCAAGTATTTTCATAAGCCATAAGTTTATATGTAACTGAGATCTTAACTGGTTGACATTTTAATCATTCCTTATAATGACCCTATATTTTTACCCAAGCAATTAAGGAAACTGCTCTTATACAAATGGAAACTACTTGACCATAATGACCTCTAACTTCCCAGGTATAATCCTTGAAATAACCTAGAACCTTAATCTCTGGTTGATTGGCTAGTTTATACAGCTACAAATAAGAGATAAACCAAGAATCCTGTGGCACTATTGTGTCAAAGTTTATTAAGAGGTAATAAATTTGGTGAATCTCCTAAGTCTTTTAAAACTCCTTACAGAGTGAGACCCTGAAATAATCCAAACACCATTTTCTCTTTAAAACATACCCATTATTAAACATTTCAGAACCTATTACTTATAAATTTCATTACAAAAAAAAATCATTGTCCATTTTGTTGGACTTTTCAGGATTTGCTTTAAAAACTCATCATAATGTATCTATGTTATGAGTTCAGAAGGGGATGAGCTAATCAGATGAGGTCCAATTAGAGAGTAATAACATATATTTAAATTACTTCCTATAACTTCCACAGAAGCTAAATGGTGGAACAAAGAATCCACAAAGGTGGAGGTTAAAGACCTATCTCTTTAGTTGTTTTAAAAGCATTTACTTCCTATCACAAACTGTGTGTAACACAAGCCTTCGTTCAATGAAGTACAGCTGTATAAACAGGGTACAGTAACTGGATCCTACTGCCTTACCTCTGTCACTTTTCAGAACAAGGAAAAACAAGAAAAAATATAAGATTTTTTTCCCACAGTTTATGCACCTTACTTGAAGTAAATCATTCTCAAAGTGGTTATACAACTGCATTTTATAGAAAATTGTTTCAATAGTTCTTTTGTAAACAAAATGAAAAATTAATAGTGCATTTATAAATACATTCATTTCCCCTAATATTTGAATTTAATTATCTGTTCTAAGGAATAAAAACAAATATTAAAGAGGAAAAAATGGTTTTTTAAGAATAAACGTCTTTCTATCAAAGAACTAATGTAATTATAAGTTGTAGTCTGTAACAATTTTATTTTCCTACAAGAGAATTACGGATTATATAAGCATATGGTATGTTATTATGGTTTTTCAATGATATAATTAGAAACATTTATGCTGTTTTCCAGTGTTAAAATAAAGATTTGTATAAATATATTTTACTAATACATTGACCAATCATTCAATTTGGCCAAAATTTAATGTAATATGTGTGTTTGTGCGTATGTTATATTTTTAAGTTTGTTAACTTCTTCTATTTTTTTTAAATTAAAGTATGACTTACATACAGTGAAATCCATCCCTTTTTTGTACTTGGTAATATGAGTTTTTGCCAAACAAATACAGCTGTGTAATCGCAATCAAGGTACAGGAAATTTTTGACCAACCCCCAAAATTCCTCATTGCACTTTGTGGTCAGGGCAAGTAGACTCTAACATGGCTCTCTGATCAGATGATGAGATTCTGGACTTTGAACTGATAATGTAATGGGATGAAACTCTTGGGATCTTGGGAGAGGTGAGGGTATTTTGAAGTAGGAGAAAAATGAATCACTGGGATCCAGAGGATTGCCTATGGAAGTAGTTTCTAAGATGGCCCCCAATGATTCCGTGCCCTTGGAGGATGTTCATCTCTTATATAATCCCTTCCCTTGATTTGGGGCTGGATTTAATAATTCCCTTCTAATGAACATAATTTTGGGCAAGGTAATGGGATATCACTTCTGACATTAGGTTATAAAAAGACAGAGGCTTATGTCTTGGGTGCTCTCTCTCATACTCTCAAATGCTCTGTCTGAGGAAAGTCAGCCACCATGTTGTGAACTGCCTTTTGGAAAAGCATATATGGCAAGGAATTAGGAGAGGCCTCAAGCTAACCAGTGAGGAACTAAGCACCTCAGCTCAAACTCCACAAGGAACTGAATCCTGCCAATAACCATGTAAGTGAATTTGGAAGCAGATCTACCTCCAGCGGATCCTTCATATAACACTGCAATGAGTAGGCAGCTTAACTGCTTAACCACAACCTCTTAAAAGATCTTGAGCCAGGAGCACTCAACTAAGCTGTGCCCAGATTCCAGACCCACAGAGACTGTGAGATAAGCCACCAATGTGTCAGAAAGAAGTAGGTAATACAGTAGTCAATCCCCCTTGGCCTCATTCTCCCAGTCTCTTACATCCACTGATTTGAATTCTTTCCGATAGTTTTGCCCTTTTGAGAATGTCATATAAATGAATTACATAGTATTTAGCCTTTTGAGTCTGGTTTCTTTCACTTAGCATAATGCATTATAGATTTCTCCATTTTGCTGTATTTATCAGTAGTTTATTCCTTTTTCTTGCTGAGTAGTATTCCATTTTTATGGTCACATCACACTTTTTGTTTTGTTTTTATTCATTCAGTAATTGAAGAACAGTTTAGTTGCTTCCAGTTCAGGGAATTACCAATAAAGAACCTATAAATATTCTCATACAGTTTTTCTCTTATCATAAGTTTCATTTCACTTGGGCAAATACCTAGGAGTGAGATTACTGAGCTGTATAGCATATTTACATTTACCTTGTAAAGAAACTGTCCAACCATTTTCCAAAGTGGCTGTGCCTGTTTGTACTACCACCAGGAGTGTATGAGAGTTACATCTGCTCCATATCTCTGGCAACACTTGGCATTATTAGTTTTATTTTTAATTCATTTATTTCATAGCATTCTAATAGCTATGTAATTATATCACATTGAAGTTTTAATTTTCATTGACATATGGTTAATGACTATGGTTATCCTTCCATGTGATTATTTGCCATCTGTTGCCATCTGTATATCTTCTTTGAACTCTCTATTCAAAATTGTGCCCATATTTTAGTTGAATTTTTTTCTTATTATTGAGCTTTCGGAAAT